GTGTTAGTCGATCGGCGTCCTGACCAGCAATGAAAACTCGTATCGATATTGTGATTATTATCATTTAGCCTTATTGAGTCGAATGACACCCCAATTCTGTTTCCTGAGGCATTCCAACTAGCGCGAAGGATGCTGCGATTTCAGGAATTTGTTTTTGAGAGATGAAGACAGTTTTGCTAGTCCATATTGTGCAGTGATATTAGATCGAAGGCTAACTTGGAAATAACATATAAGAAATAAATGCGTCATATTGAAAAACAAGGTAAGATTGGAGGATCTTGGGTCTCGAAAGCATGCTCATTCTATAGAAAGCCATCTTGAAGCTCATATGGACCTACTGGATACAACTATGGGATAGAGTCAGCACCTCGAATATTGAAATCCTAGAACACGATAATAATTGTACCATGTTAAAGAAAAGGGACTTCAATTGGTTATACCTACAGTTTTAAATAATTTACAAATTAATACTACTAACATAACTTTTCTTTTTCTTAATTTGCGATCAAACAATTCAAGTAATTGCGAGATTCGCCTATCGTATTTCTTTAACTCCTTCCACCTCAGCTCCTCGCATCAAAACTCTTCAGCTTCTTTCATCGACTCTCACTATATTCTCTAATATTTTTCTTATAAAAATACAATACAAATGGCAACTGTGTTACTTTCATGATTCTTCAGGCGGCAGAAACTGTTTAAAAGTTAGCAATATTGTTAGGTTTACCTTTTTCCCTTTCTTGGAGAATGAATTGATAAAGGTTTGAACATTTCGGACTCCGAACATTATCCATAGAGTTTGTACTTTTGTTTCCACTTTTTCCGCGTTCAAGTACTCAGTAAAGATATTCTGCCTGTTATCATTTTTCTAAAAATCGCAGAAAAAAGGCAATTAATGGTAGGAGATTCCGTAATATTTCTGTATATTTTCCAGCAGTATAAATATACGTTTATGAAATATCATATGTTTATGTAATAACACTGATTAAATTAAACGTAAAACGAAATGGTATCGAATATCATGAAAATGAATTCTGTTTCATATTTCGGAGGTTTTTAATTCATTGAATGCACCAAATTCTGCTCTTTAGATACGATATAGCGGGTAGAACATGAAAGGGGATACGAAACATATCAGAGCCAAAAGAAGGATTTCGGAGACGCGCTATTGCTGCGATGCTGTAATTAAAAGTCCATAAGCAGATGAGCTTCTGAATATATTTTGTACAGCTCTTTAGATTTCGACGCATTTGCTGGCTAACAAATTTTCCAATTATTATACTTTTATTTTAATTACAGTTTCACAGAAGCAGTTAGCGCACCTAGAGTAATTGCTTTAATTATATATAATTATTATATATCTAATTATACATTATTATATATCTATTATACATTTTATATATGTAATTATTATATATTATATATATAATATATAATATATATTATATAAAGCGATTGCTTTAATTAAAGCGATCGGAGAAATAAGGAAATAATTCCATTTTTAAACAATTTGACTAAACCAACAGGTACAACAATTTGGATAATAATTTGAAATATTTCTTTGTTACACAATTCGAAGTATAATGAAACATCGTGGCGAACCACCCTGTACAGAAAAATCTGTAGAAAATGGATCTGCTTCCTTATTACTGCAAACCCTTTATCGTACGAGGAACGCAATGCAACACTCATCACTTTGCGCGGCCGTTTTATATCCTCCATTTCTCTAAGAACAACTTGGCAAAAATATTAGGATTCCAGTTCGCACTATTTCTTTGTTAGCTCCTCCCACGACCTCTGATTGGCTTCTCCCAACAAGTCGGAGTCCGCTTAACTTCCAGCGATACATTTATGTGGCGTAGGACTCGTTTCTACGGATTCCGGTGTGGACACGGAACGGCGGAGGTCGATTTAAAAATCGGAACGACGGCGCCAAAAATGTTCTCATCTTCGGAGCGTACGGTCGATAAGGGCGGAGAAATGATAGAGCTGTAAAATTCTACCGTATAGTCAGCGACTGAACGACTCGAATAGCTCGGATCGTCGTCGTGAACCCTACGAGGTCTATCACCGTACAAAAGGTAAAAGGAATCGGCGATGCGAATCGATCGTAAAATCGCGTCCTCGCCGGTACTCGCGACAACGCCTCGTCAATAAATACTTCAGCTTTCCCGATGGCGACCGGCTGCTCCATGTATTCCGCGAAACGATCGGTCAACTTTGCAGCGTAAAGCTCGCAGTGAAAGTAACGAGTTTTAGGACGTATTTATCCATTGGGATCTCAGCGCGTACGGTGCACCACTATACATATGTATAACGCGAAGAATAAGTGCATCGCTGTGCAAGCCTTACTGATTTCACGGATTTATATTAGGTGGTTTTGCTACATTTTTCTGTAACTTGTGGCAAAGAAATACTCGAGTGTAAAGGGAGTACGCAGTCTTGTCGTGCTAACATATCGACGGTCGCGTCAGCCGTACGCGAGTGTTAGAATCGTTTATTTAGTTTTAAAAATTGATCTATGATATATTTCGAATTTTATTGTGAGAAATTAAAAACGTGAGAATATAGAAAAAGTAATCAGTAGACTAGCGGGATCTTTATGCGAAATAAAAATTGTCTAAGTTAATTGCGAGAGAAATATAAATTAGATGGAAATGTCTTTCCTCTTCGAATAATTGTAACAAGTTGGAAATAATGTAAAGGCATCCTGAAATTCGTGAAATCTTTAAGGTTGTTAATGTGGCAATCAAAGTGTTGTGTGAAATTTATTTCGTTTAATTTTAACTATTCTTTGCACAATTATCTACATCTGTATGAGAAAAATAAACCAATTTATATGCCATAATACTTCCGAGGCACTACGTGTTGTGGAGAAAATAATTTCCGGTGTTCACGTACTTCTTACATATCGTGTTTTCATCGAATGGCAAATTGTTGATGAAAGAAGACTTAATTCATTATAAACTGAACCGACAGATGCGTTTATATTTTACAGTGTAGATACGGATTCTTTTATTTTAAGGGAAGTGTAGTTTGAATGTTTAGGATGTTAATTTAAGATATATATTGCGCATATAATATATTTACAAATGCTTCGTAAATACATATACATACTGAACTTAAAGCAAATAATGAAACTTATCGGTGTGTTATACGGGATTTATTGTATACCAAATGTGTGCCAGGTGTACAACATAAATCTTTTATTAGATACGAAGGACCAATGAAATCTTGAATATACCTTGAATATTTTCGAAATTGTACATTTTTAAAAGAAAAAGTGAAGTCACTTTGAAAGAGTTTAAAGATTACACAAGAGTTAACAAAATTATTATGAACATTCTAATGCTTTTCTCATTGTCTCTTATAATTTGAAAAATATCTACATCTTCAATATTACCGCGCATCATATTTGATGAATGAAATAAATGAAGAAATAAATATTTACAAAAAAAAAAAAACTTAAATTATTTTTCTTAGACACTCTTACGTTTCTACTATAAACACCAAAAATTTTATTTATATCGGTTTGGTAGTTCAATAGGTATGATTTAATGGGAACAGGTTGACACTTTATTTTGTAGGCCCGTAAAATTAACAATTTTGGAGAGATCCTTCGAGATTTGTTCATATATGCCGAGGACACACCCAAATTTGACCAAAATTTGAAACAGTACTGCAAAAGGTGTTCGATATCGCGTGGAATGCCCATGTGACAAGGAGGAACATTTTGGAGTGTACAATTCTCAGTGAAATAGACATTTTGCAGACTATTGGACAAACTTAATCGTACCTTTGCTCTCTTTGCCATGCAATTCCGAAAAAGTAATTTTTATTTGTCGCGGTATCGTGCCCTCTTTACTTAAAAGCTCCTTCGTCCCGCGTGGAAGACGAAGACGAAGGAAAATTGTTATCGCTTCGCGACGCTACTTTCATATTAGGGTAGAAGCTTTTCCGAAAATTTTTGGGAGGAAGTACCGGAGCGTCGTAGTCGATTCAATTTGCCTAATGAACAAGCCAGGAGGAACATGTCCCTGTCTACGGAGAACAGTATTATAAAACCTATCTCTTGTGACTCAGTCTCCCGGATCGATTTTGTACACTGTACGAAATGAGCCTGACAATGCAATCGCCCGTGTAGATTTCTGTCGGTCGCGTCACTCGCGAACCTAAGACAATAAAGAAGCTGGAATCGAAATATCGATAGCGGCGAGACAGTCGGTGAACTGAGAAGATGTACTTGGGTCCGAGAGTCGTAAATTTCGGCGGAATTGAAATCATACTGTTGCAGTGGGAACGGATCGGTGTGGCGTTCATTGAAAAATTGAACAGAATTTATTTGCTCCGCCGAGAAAATAATTGCCAAATTAAACTTACTCTTTATTTCCATCCGAATCTATCGAATTTTGGCGGCACAAGCGATTCATTACATTACAGATTTAATGCATTTATGATAGTGATAAGTAGGCGGAATTTATAACTTTTAAATATTATTTTTAATTGTTGAATCTCGAATCTTAACGAACAATATTTTAATCTTGCATAAATATATGCAGTTCAGTCGTCATCAGTTTGTTAATTTATAAGCATAAATATTGTTTTCTTATTTTTACATTTCACTGTTTTTTATTCCCTTCGTATGGATGGAATTGATATATCAATTAGCATCATTGAGATCTGATACATTGATTTTGAGAAAATTTATGCAGGACAAGACTTTTAGAAGCTTCACCGACAAACGGTGAAACATTCTTTAGCAAATGAGAAAGAAAATAAAAAATGTAGAATACGAGAGAATAGAAATGATTTTTGGCTTACATGTCTACGTTATGAATGTAAATCAGTGTAAAATTGTCCAAAATATACTTGGTCAACGCGACCGCGAACGAAATAGAAACGCAAGTTGAATGTAGATACGCGAGAACTCAGTTAATGTTATCCTGGAATAGGAATTATTCGAAGCACGTCCTAATAAGTAAATGCTCTTTCTCTGTTCGCAGAATTCCATAAGACACAACCTGTCGTTGCACAGCAGATTCATGCGAGTTCAGAATGAAGGTACCGGCAAGAGTTCTTGGTGGATGATCAATCGGGACGCGAAACCTGGCAAGTCCTCGCGACGGAGGTAAACCACTCAACCTGTTGCCCCTCTGACCTGCAAATTAGTTGGCTGTGCGTGAAGTGTTTCACGTGATTCGCCGTGTTTCGCAGGGCTATAACGATGGAGTCTAACAAATTGGAGAAACGACCAGGTCGCACGAGAAAGAAGATCGAGGCGCTAAGGAATGGCGGACTGCAAGCTGATGTGACACCGAGCCCAAGTAACAGCGTGAACGAGGGCCTTGATCATTTCCCCGACAGCCCTCTTCAACACGGAAGTGGTTTTCAGCTCTCCCCTGATTTCCGGTAACTTGAATTCGAAGCAAATTGAAAAAACAAAACGAAGACAACTATTCGAAACATATACATTACAACTTGAACACGTTCAGTTCTTTGCGTCCACTACTCATTCTTAACGCTTTATCCACCGGAAAACTATTAATCGAAATTTCAACCAGTGTACCTCTTAGACTAGGAGGAATCTTGAACTTCTTTATAGGAAGAAACTTCTATAACTTCTTCTTATAGGAAGGAACTTCTTTATAGAATCATAGTGAGACGTAAGTGACATTTTCGAATATTTTGACTTGTGTTTTAAAATGTAATCTATACATGCCAAAATATTAAAAAGACAAGAGAATCAATTATAAAGTTGCTAGAAATTAACTCTAAATAGTCTTAACAATCAATTTGATCAGTGAACAATACACATATTGGTAAACAATAACATTCCTTGTTCCTCACAATGAGGAAAACGTGATTTACGCTATCATGATTCTAACCCACTCATACGATAATTTCAAACAAAATTATTACATTATATTACTGAGAGTGACTTGTTGGTATACTACTGAAATTCTTATTTTCATTAAACAGTTCGTTACGAAGTTTTTAACTGTAAATTGTATACTTCCAAAAATTATAAAATCATTGTCGGCAGATAATTTGTCCATTGTACATGTTTCAACTGTGAATCACATATGACGAGACAGTGAGCTCGTTAATTTTATTTCGATTTTAAGGCAATTCAATCATTATTTTCGCTACGATACATTTTTACGACGACTTAATACGTTTTGCTCGATTTAAGGAGTCAATAAAACTGAGAATAGAGATATTGGAATCATTTGTTATACTTATGTTTAACTGAGAGTGGAATTTCTTTTCATTCAAGTCCTCGAGCTCCAAGCAACGCCTCCTCCTGCGGTCGATTAAGTCCAATCCCTGTGCTCCCTGGGGAACCGGATTGGACACCAACATACACTACCTCTTATAGCCCAGAACAATTAGGTACGTGTCAATGTTTTCTATTTGGTTTCTTACGATGATGCGCTGATTATTTCTACACTGTTACACCGTCAGCAGAGAAGAAGCACGTCTCAAGGTTCAGATAAACAATTTAAAAAATAGAAATTTCAAAGTGCATTTTAGAGAGAGACTTACAAATTTATTCATACCGAAATTTCAGTTGTTTAGTCAAAATATGATCGCCAAATATTTTGACGACCCCAACTAAATATCAATTGTTACTTTCCCAAATCTTGAGTACCGTGAATGCATAATGTCCGCGTGAATGTTCGATTCTAAGAACAGCGATCTGCGTGTCAAACGTTTAATCGATTTTCTCTTCTTTCCAATGAACGCGAACGCAGCCGGTAGCTTTGCGGAAACGATGAAACTGGAATCTTATCAAATGTATCAGACATCGCCACCGAGCCATCAGCAACAGACCGGTCCACCGCCATCTTATTACGAGACCCAGTATCAGAGAAGCAACAGCCTTTCCGCGGGATCGCCTTCCTTCGCTTTGCAACCGACACCTCAGCCTGCGAGTCAGCAAAGATGCACGACTCACGGTCTGCAACCGTGTGCCTGTCAAATGGTGAGCAAAAAAATATTCTGTCGATGCGATCCACGTAAGTTGACACATTTTCGAGGAAATAAAACAATACTGAACTGTACGGTGTTTCCGATCAATTTGTCTCAATTGCGAACAATTATGCATTCTTAATCTTGTAAATTGTTTAACAACTTCCTCGAAGTCATTTGCATTTTATATGGTCCCTATACTCTTCGTATACTTTATATCATCTGTATTTGCTCTACTCGGAATACTCTCTATACATTTTGCATATTCTACATACTCTATGTATACCCGCTGTACACACAATAGTATATATGTATATAGTATAATAATAACTGTAGATTTCCAGGTACTCTTAACTCTGTACAGTTGTCAGCGTATCTTTGGAATCACACGCTGATTTATTTCTTTTTTTTAGACCTAATTTCGTTTCTAGCCTTAACGTGGCAAAACTATGTTATTCTCTTATTTTTCCTACGTAATCGAGAAAGTTATACATCGTAATATCCAAAAATAATTCACATGCCAAGATAAATTAAATTTTATTCAGAATTGTGAAGCTGTTAAATCATATATAAATTTGTGTACATCCGTATAAAGATTCGGTCTATAAACTGTTAAAGATTTTACATTGTAAACAGTCGAGCATATGGCAAAAATGTTTAGAAACACTGGAGACACAGCCTTAAAAATCACGCAGAAATTATAAAAACAGTTAATATCGATGCGACCGGACATGTTATTTGAATTTCCGTTTGCTCTTTTCAAAACGATATTAGACTGCAAGTCCAGTGGCTGGAATGTCACCGTCGTATCAGCAAAGCGAACCGAGTCCCACGGCTCTGGGTAACAGTCAACAGCAGACTCTGCAGTACATAATGCAGACGCAACAATGTCAACAGCAACAACAGCAACAGCCGCAGACTGTTCCGACAGGAGCTAGTCCGCCGCAGACACCAACACCATGTGGGCCCACACCGAGCACAATGATGGGGCAGTTAATGGGGGCACTAAATAACTCCACAATTCTTGACGATTTGAATATAAACATCGAGTCGTTGCACGGCGGATTCGACTGCAACGTCGAAGAAGTAAGTTTTAGTTTTCCTTGCGTCTATTCTAAGCGACTATTCTATTGCGCCTCTTGTAAGCGGCTATTCTACTGCGCCTATTCAATGCTGCGTTTCGAGTACCGCAAATTTAAATCGGATGTTAACCTTGAAACGGCCAGTAATTATGCAAACTAGAATTATCTCTCAAATCTAACGCAACGAATTAGTACCAACGGAAGACCTTCGTGTATTTATTCACTTGTTTCGATCTTCTATCCTCTATGCAGGGTTCAATACGCGACATCGATTCATACTTTCATTCTTCGCGAACTTAAACTTGCGGGCACAATGTAACGACGGCGATGTGCGCGTTGTTGAAGCATTCCAATGGGACGTATGCATAACACAAAAGCGACTTCGTTCGATAAGATTGCATGAGACTCGTGTTACCGCTAAGAAACAGGACTTACTTCTTTCGCGCAACGACGCAAAACCTGCTGCATGTTGCACTCGTAAAAAAAAGAAATAAAGGATGTCGGACTGGAAGTTGTACCACATCCTCTTCATACCCCAGACCTGTCATGACTATCGCTTGTATATTTCTGCGTCGCATTTTGTTGCGAAGAAACGCTTCAAAAACGTTGCCGTGCTCCAGGCAGTCTTTTACACTCGTGTCTCAGAGCTCTTGGCACCACTTCGCACGGGCGATAACCGATATTTTCAAGTATCGTTCACAAAAATCGGCTTGTTACAATGGTTAGAACTTTTTCAATCGTAATAATCTCTTAGAAGAAAAAGAAAGTTTATATTTCTTGCATATCTACTATTCAAAAGCTAAAAGACGTGCCCTTACCAACAAACTATTCGACGCGAGCGGCAAGGGGAATCGACCTAATTCCTCCCACTTCTCAGATTCTGAGTCATGATTCGCTAAGTTAGTTAAATAAGTCACGCGCTGGGCACAAGACGTGATTGGGTGGAACGGGCGACCGATTCCTCTTGCCGCTCGCGTCGTTAAGATTATAAGTAGTTGCACATCTTTTGGTTTTCGAACAGTGTGTGTTTAGTTCGGTGCTTAAATATCGGTGACAAGAGAATAGAATCTCCGTCAGACTCGTCAGAGTACGACAAGGAGTGAACTTCTTCCGGCAATCCTTCCACGAAGTGAAAATTCGATTGGCAGTCCTCTGAAAGGTTTATCGAACCCTTGTTGCAGGTGATCAAGCACGAGTTGTCGATGGACGGGACGTTGGACTTCAACTTTCCGCAGGGGGGCGTGATGGGCACGACCGCGATCCAGGTGAGCGACCGCAACGTCGGCCAAAACGGCTCGATGTCACAGAGCAACATTGTCGGGGGTGCGACCGGCAACGGAAGCGCAGGTGTCTATGTGACCAGTAGCGCCGCGACCCCAGCCGCGCCACCATCATGGGTCCATTAGCGATGGTATCCTTACTCCCGACGACCTCGTCATCTTTGTCGCCGAGCGGTCGGACAGGTATCCGAGGACCGTTCGCGGCACAGCTCATCGGTGAGTCAAGCATTATCTGTTAGAAGAAATACGCCCGGTCGTTGACAAACGACAGAGTTCTAATCGATCTCACGCCGGTGGTCCGTTTCGTCGCTGAGGAACAATCCTCGCGCTAGGGAATGAGTAATCGATTTGCAGAGATCGAGGCTCGAAGAGCTGGCTCACAAAGAAAGGCTGCAAACTCGAGAACTTGGATCGCGATCGAACCTTCTGGGATTATGAAGCACGATTGAATGAAACGATCTTTTTGTTTCAACGAGCTCACTTTGAATTGATACGATCATGCGTCGAATTCTATTCGTCTGATAGTGTGTCGGAATTAGGCAATAGTTGAGAAGGCTGTTAGTTCACGCGACTAGAATAAAATACATTTGAGAAGAGCTCAGAGAATCATCGGATCGAAGGACACTAGCCCCGATGTGTCCAAAACGCCGAGTTTCACGGTGTACACGGTGGTTAATCAAATTATTGGAGTCACGATACGAAAAAATATATTTATTGTTCCAGTAACGGACGATGTATGTAGTTTACGGTGTCGTTGCTGAACGTATACATGCAACTCGCAAACGTCAATACTTCATAGGAACTTTTTGTAGCTATTTCACTTAAAACTTGATTACATTGTTTCAACGTAAATTGGTCAGTCCAGACAAGTGGCTCTGATAATTTGGATACAATTTGTAGCTTCACTCAAAAGAGTTAAGCGAGAAATAATAAGAGACTGACTGCCATTAGGCGACATAAGTAGTAAGACCCAACGGTTGTGCCTGTTTTATTTCTTGGCAATTATTGATTGGGAAAGCTTGCGATTGGTCTCGGATCCAACTGAACCATAATCACTAACACAACTTCATTGTCCAATGGAGATTTGGATTTCGAGTTGTGTTCGGGGATTTCTGCTTAGCGCAATATGTTTTACGATCCCAAAACGTTCGATCAAAATTCGAATTTTCGCAGTTAGAAGTTTTCGTTGTTAGAAACTGCGAGTTGCCCGTTCACGTATTTGTTTATATATATTTCTATTCAGTTTGCTCTTTAAATATGTAACACCTGTTTTACCTCAACATTGTCGTACGACCTCCTCGACAGGAATACTGACGCATCCACACCATCGGTAGTTATTGTAATTGTGTATATTATCCGTATGTACAAAGTCTTCTATTAAATAAAGCCATTTATTGTTAAAGGAGTGAAACAAAAGAATATATTCGTTCGCGTGTTCCCGCGCGCCACCGAATCGTTGTCTTTATACTCGTGCAGGGTGTCTCAGAATCTCCGGTGCAATCGAGGAGACATTATAGTGAACGTTATACTGATGTTCGTGCACTTACAGGTTTTATTTAATCGAATTCCTAGTAAAAAAAAATGTATGGCGTCTACTTTCTGCTAATAATTTAGATCAGTAGTCGAATACCGTAAAGCCGAACTCGTTTCAATCAGTGTGCCAGTAATTACAAAACTGGACTATCTGGTCTTCAAATATTTATTTATACGTAACAATTACGTATTGCTGAAAGGCAATTAATTGTTTCACGATGTGATCTTTAATGTTACTTTCAGTTTCGATTTCCTTCGAGTTTGCTTAATATCCACTTTCACCACTATTGGCACGCCTAAAAGGCACGAAAACCTGAACTTCTCCGGCAAAGCGATCCCGTTTGTTTCGCCAACTTAGTCCTTTTTTGAGGAAATCATCGAATCTGATATAATGTGCCGTTCATTTCGAAACACCCTGTACATCGGAATACCGTAAGCGTACGATAATGATTTCCTCTTAACCGTACCTGCTCAATACAATCTTCCGTTCTCTTCGTATGAACAAGGTGTTCGCCCAGCTAACGGCCAACAATTCCTCGTGAACGGTGAATATACGAAAGAAACCAAACTGGAGAATGTCTTGCTGTTTTTTTTATAACGAACAGGATAGCATATGCAATCTTTTATACGGTGTTTCTTAAAAACACAAATGATTTCCAATCGTTTTATTTCTTTTATCCCCTGGATGCACTTTTTGTGCTTCATACGATGCTGACAATTGTGATGAATTCGACATTATAGCTATAATTAATCCATACATTCGCACAAGATTTTGACAGCATCACCAATTAATGAAGCTATTTAATTCAAAAGTGGTCACAGTCAATTTTATATTTTCTTAGTCCAACACCACTTTTCAAAAGCTTAATCTTTATCACCATACATATATATAATTATATATTATTGCATTTTACAGAACTTTTAATTCATCCCTCATTATCCAGTAATCAGATGATTTTTATTTATGCCACCTTCGTATTAACTGGTGCAAATATAACGATACCTAGATTTGTGGTAAAGTTACGTAAATAAGTTACGTAAATAAAATAAATACGTATTCAAAATATGATTCTTTTTAAGCAATATACATAACGTTCCTTAAAAGAGTGTAATACAATATTTTAATGAATATAAAGAACAACTTTTATTAATTAACTTAAAGTGCGTTAACATTACACGCGAAAACGACTGAAAAACGTTATCTGAATTGAGTTGTTCAATCAAGACATTTTCAAATATCTCGATCATTAATCATTATTCCTACTACATTGTAATACTTTCTTTTTACGTAGAATAACGAGAGAGAGAGAGGGAGGGAGAGACAGATGGGGAGAGAGAGAGTGAGGAATTTGTCTCTATAAAAAGAAATAAGCATTTTCATTTTAAAAAAAATAATACAATTGCTGATTCCATGTGCACCGCTAAGTCCACTTTAAAGAAACTTGATCCTACAAATTTTGCATCCTTTAACACTAACCGTACTGCCGATCCAATCACCGGTTCGACAATTCTTATGCTACAATTATTGAAATTATAAGGACACGTCTACCGGAAACCATTCAATACATTTATTCATCCCAACATATATTAATATATAAAAAATCTAAATAAATTCAATACCGTACTTTGTATGCGACAACACAGACAAGTCACTCCTAACGCCCGGTACAGTTAGTATTAAACTATTCATCATCCAGTGCCATTGATCACGGGTTGACATTGAAACAGACATTCGAGCAGCACAAATAGAATCGTGTTATTATTTCATTGCAATTGCGTTTACAATTAAACTAATCAATTATTCATTAGACAAGTTTGAGTGACCAATTCGGGATCTTCTAACAGTGGTTGGAGATTAGCAAATTTACCCTGACTTTCAGCAGTTTATGCGAACGGGACTGAATCCAATTGCTGCGACCTATTTAAGTTAGCCGGCAGAAAATGAGAAGTCAGGCGAAACTTTTGAAACAGTGGGTTCGAATGATCCCAGGCGTCGTAATCCAACGCCGCTCTCGTCTTCCGGTAAATGTCAGAAGAATAAAGAACCGGTACACGCTATTTTTATTGTTATAAACAACAGCAGACCATTCTCCTAATTCACGTTTCTCGTGCACACATCGGTCACGGGAATAATGTTGATCGACGGCTGCGCAGCCACCTTGCTGAATTGTTCGCTCGGAACTCATCCGATCGCGTAATCGGTTTTCCGACAAGACAGGTGAATTTAACAATAGACAGTGAAAACTTCGTACACTTTTCATCAATGAAAAATTCTTCGAATATAGGTAGCCATTTCTATATTCTATGATGTGTAATTATATAGTTAATATAATAGGTACTAAGTTTATTGTAGACTATTATTAAAAAGTAATGGTGGTTAGTTCGAGAGGAAAAGCGCAGATATATGGTGAAACCTCCATTATCCAAACGTCTCGCTCTACGGAATCTTGAGAATTGTACATTCGTGTAAAAGTGTATATTTTTTGTCGTCGGTATGCCACTTCGTTGCCGATCGTATTCGAGCGTCGCGGATATTCTCGTTGTGAATGCGACGTTCCACGGTTTCACGCGAAAGATCGGTTCACGAACGCTAATCCGGGCCGAGAGGCATGCAAAAAAACCGAGAAACGTCGCGCTCGAGAGAGAGAATTCGAAAGAAACGCGAAAGCGCAGTGTTTTCTTGCTGGAACTTTGATCGAGTTTGAAACTCCGCGGCGCGAACCGATTTCCAACAGCGACCATTTTGTTTCTGTGCGTCTTCGAAAGAGGCTCTGAAAGAAAGCGCTGCGCTTTTTAGGATTAAGATTCAGTTACGTGCGAAGCTTATCTCTAAGGACTTTTCTTGGTGAAAATAGTGATAGACGTGCGTACTGATGGTAGCGATATTGTTAAGAACATTTTGCTCCGTATTCGCGAAGCGGCGAGGAAACCGATTGTTCCAGGGAAACGAGGAAATGGAAGTGGACAGTTCATTTCAACGATCGGAAACATCGAAATTCGTTCGTTTCACCTGTTAACCGGGGCAGACGGACCAGCCCGTCTGTTTTCGAATGTACCTTCCACAAATTTTTCGTCTCCTCATTATTTATTTAATGAAGGGACCCGGCGTTCTGTCATAATGACTGTAATGTTGTGAATTACACTGTGCTCGTGTTTATTGCGAAGCATATTACTTGTCTATACATAATTGTCGTTATGAAGAAATCCCCGGTTGACTGGTCTCGGATAAGTACCTAAATTACATATAGTCAGTCACACAAATTTATTTGTATAATTTATTTAACGCAAGCTTCTTCGAGAATGAAATAAAATATTAATATTATAGAAGGAACGTGTTTTTATTATACTCAGGTATAAATTGTTTAATCTAAAAAATAGTATTTAAAAGAATTTATTGTTAAATAAATATATATATATATTAAAAGATATAATAGTTTTTTGTATGAAAATATTTGTATATCGAATTTTTCTTTTAAAGCATTCTTGTTTAAGTTGATCGTTTCAGAGTAAATAGGAGATAATTTTTTATTTTTTGAAGGTATGATCGATTTTCGATTCGCATTGGAATGCTTGGGAGTGCATCGCGGTTTGTTACGAACAATTAGAATTCGCTAAATTGTTCTCGAAAACGTTGATTATATTACTGAAAGATAATTTAATTTACTTCAATTCCAACACAGTACTTCTGGTCAAGTAAGATAATTTATTGTTCTACTCGAGCAGTGCCGGAAAACATATTTCCTTTTTTTTTTACGACTACGTTTTATTTCTATCAACGCTAACTGGTATGGGATAAGTTTAGTCAGCATTAGTGTTTTGTAATTTTTTTTAATTTTAATTTCAATTTCGCATTATATTTCTCGCATCCTTATATATAGATTTCTGTGGCTGATTATACTCAACTAAAAAATGAAGCTTGTACGTTTGAGAACTTCCGTGAATGAACATTTTTGTTTGCACTGGAAAATCATATTCGAGATAAGTTTTCAAACACAGCAGATACCTTTACGTTTTAATATTTTCACCGAAAATGGACGATTAAATCGTTTCGAGTGAAGCTAAATGTAAAATTAGTACCACGAAATTCGAAAATATGGATCCCAGAAATTTACCGACATATACGTCGAAGTTATGTTACCTAAAACACTGTCGAAATATCCTCTTATTTATATGTGTTAGTTTGGATAGTGGATGTTCTACTGTACTATTAAAATAAAGTAATGAAATAAACTAATCTATGGTGAATGTTTAAAGGAAGAAAACCCTCCATATTGAAATAATTATTATAAATAAAATGTTTCAAACATACTATAAGAAACATCAATGCCTATTAATTACCGGCTTTCATTCTTACTAAACGGTGGCATTATTATTTCCTAAATAAATATGTAAGAAGTATCAAAGTTATTGCAGTCTATGTTTTGATCAATTTTTAAATGCATGGTGCTGCACATAAAAGGCTTTTTGCAACTTCGTGAGAGATTCTTAGTATTGAAATTGAACGTTAAAAGTTGCATTATCTACCGAATATTATTTTAAACAAAAACCCATTTTAGAATTGTAATAAATTCTTATTAACCCTTAGCGGACTAGAAGTATTTCAAGTTTGCATACCGCCTAGTTCAAGTTATTTTTCATACGAAGAAAAATTATTCGCTAAAGATTTTTATGTCAAGCACAGAAAAAAAAATTTAATTTATAAAAATTCATTGATATATTTTCATCAAAATCATCGTGTTTTTTCTTCCAAAGTTCCCTGCCAGATTTTACAGTTCTATTGATTTTCGCTGCTTACATGGCGAAATTGGATTCTTAAGGGTTGAAAGTTGAGTTCCTGATATTCGAGTGATTTAGTATGATCGCTCCAAAAAAATTACGTCAGTAAAAAAGGGGGCAGACACGCGTCGATGCACCCGCATTACATCGATTCTTGTACCAACGGAAGATAACATTTGCAGAGCTACGCCATAACAGTGGCGCCGGAATAATATTTAATAAATCTTTCCAATACTCGGTGTACGTGCCGACACGTGTTTGCATAGCCTGTATTTTGTCCGTGATCAGAATTGACTTAGCCTTAACAACAGTGACAGTTTTTACGATATTGAATTGTAACGAAAATATTTCATCATGTTCGTAAAAATACATCATAAAAATTTTTAACCACACAAACGATTTTCAACGCGTCCCTAATAAATCGATTGGGTAAGTATTGTTTTAAAGCGTTTTCAGATCACATGATTTCAACATTGATTGATTTCCAATTTCTGTGTACCTATCGCCATCCGCTCACCTAACACCAAAGAAGTAAGTATAAAATTTAAAATACTGAGTCTGAATACTGTACATTTAAGAATAAGGTTGAGTTTTATTTCAAATCCATTTTTGAAAACTTAAAAGATAAATAGGTACATTTAGTTGTATGCGACAATTTTCTTTTATCAAAAAGTGGCTTTTTTATTCCTTAACAATGTTTTTTTCCAAAACATAAATGTCGTTTCCAAAACAGTGTACAAGGTAGAAATATAAAGTTTGGCACAAAGGGGTCGAAATTATATTGATCCTGCGCGAGCAATTAACTGTTAAAGAATTGTCTAGGGGCCACACTAGTGCTGCAATGTGACCCCGATGATTATCGGACACAGAAAAACACGGCTGATGTGTAAAGTAAAACCGACCTCCGGATATCGAATGTTAATAAGCTGATTCGTGTTAATCCTGTAGGTTTTAAACGGGCTTTAATTCGGGAAATCATGACAAATTGGAGGGCTTACAGTCGGCTCACGTATTTTCGATTGCCGTTGTTGGTTCATTGTCAGAGTTTGTTACCGTTTGTTTCACTTTTTAACTCGTTCAATTGAGCTACGACTGCAGCCGATTTAGTGCTTGTAAATCAGAGGGCACGGTGAATAGCACTCCCAGTAACAAATTTTTCTTTTCACAGTTAATAGTGTTAACGTATAAGTTGAGGACCTTTCTCAAGACATTAATCCTCATTTAATACTAACAGCGACTGCTACGTATTGTCTTTGAATAATTAACGTATTCAATTTATCTCGACGTTGCGCAAATTTTATTATAACGTGCGAATGAAAAAATATATTTATTCAATAATTATTCATGGAAGAATCCATATAATTTCAATAATATTGTATGGTATTTTATATATTACTTATGAATAATTATGGCACTGCTACACAGCTTAAAACACTTTCCGAGATTTAATCGTAAACTTTATTCGAAATCTGTGGGTTAATACATATAACCAAACTGAATACAGAGCTAATATGATGTAGAAGTAGACCTGGAAATCTTTTTTGTTTCTCTGTAAATGTATTAAGTACAAGAGAAATGTACCTATATTTCACTGAAAGAATAATTTGCGGAAAATTCATATTCATATTCCGATTTTGATAAAATCTGTGAAAATAAGAATTTATATAAAAGTGATATTATTTCTTTAAAAGACAATTTGTTGAGACTTGAACTTGTTTTTCAATTGCTTTAGGGCACTGATGAAAAATTCGAAAAACGTATTTTTGCCGAAAGCTTCAAACGTGCATAGCCCCTTAACGATTTCGGTACAAACAGATTCGTCAACGCCGCTAAAAATCCGCGTCACACTAGTTTTTCAGAACCGTTCCCCCTAAAATTACATATCGCGTTGCTGCTTTGAGAAAAAAGCTGTTGTCGCTCAACCAGTTCAACGATATTAATTGCTTCTCAAGCCCTGTTTCGAAATATATCTTTGTAGAGCCGCGAAAAATTGTGATTGCATTGAGCTTGCTACGATACCTAACGAAAAAGGAATGTGAACAATAGAATTTTTAATCAAAGTGTTTGAAACTTGTTCTTGCGACAAGTGGAATTTAGATTTAGAATACAGAATAGATAAATTGACGTACGAACGTATTATTGAGTAAATAATAAATTCATTCGCCTCTACATCTTTATTTATATTGATTGAAATTTAGAAATTAGGCGATTTATAGCTAATACTTTTAATTGTTCTGTACTGTACATAAAAACTGATGTCTTTTTGGTCATAACTAAATAATGGGCAGCGTTTAATAACATTTCTTTATGTGTTATCGCAATTTTAATATATCAAATAACAAAAGATTAATTTTTATCATGAAGACGAGTTTCATGTATAACGGCATTTACTGTACTGTTTCCTAACTGGCAAGAGAAACCTAATTAAAGAAAACACATGCATACATAAAAGACGATGTTTAATCTCCGCGTTGCAGATGTTCAATCTATGTAGTTGGAAGATATGGAAATATATACAGCTATAGTTACGTTGATTCTTGATTTTGCCAAAACAGGTCGCTGTTCACAGTTATTTCGAAATGAATCCTATAAAAAAATGTCAATAATAGTATCGACGTTAAAATGATAAAACCGACGCTTAATATTGTTCGCAAAAATAAATCCAATCCAAACACAATAATATAATTCGCGAAAAATATATATCGTTTCTCATAACGTACATAAACAATATCGAAGTCGCAAATGTCAATAATAGTAACGATATTGAAATGATAAAACCGACGCCTAATATTGTTCGCAAAAATAAATCCAATCGAAACACAATAATATAACTCGCGAAAAACATGTATTTTTTCTCATAATTTACATAAGCAGTATCGAAGTCGCGAATGTCACAGCTAAATGATGTTACGAACATCAAAATATATCTGCAAATTATAATGTTCTATCTACCTTTTATCTTCGATTCTACCTTCAAATATCTTGAGAAACAAATGCTATATTTTTCGATTATATTCGACACACTTTCCTTTTCAAAGGAAACGTTTGGCGTCCCATAATGCGTAAAACGCGTCGCATCGCAACGCATCAGTTGCGTTCAAGCTACTTTTTCCTCGGGCCGCGAAATATGCTCGCGCAATTTTCGCAAACGAGCCAATTTAGCGCGCAAACTTTCTCTCTGAGCGATGGAATCCTTGAATAAATTTAAAGTCGCCAGTTTTTCGAAGAAATTCATTGAAGCAGGCAACAGTTACGAGTCCTGTTCGACTCGACGATATTAAATGCATACTGTATTAGGCGTTATTGAAAAGACGCATTTTCGGCGGCCGTTCCGAAAGTTTTGTAATTTCGAGACCCACCGTATGCATTCCTAATGCAATACAATTTTCTCCGGTCGAGTGTTACAGCCGTATACGTAATGCTTATCTAATGCATACATTAGTTTCCATATCATGGCCGCTGCCAATTCTCGGACAAAATTACTAGAAAATCAGTGGAAACGATTGTTATTATCTACATCCAGCGGATTTTTACGCAAAATTAAAAATGATCAAGGTACTAGTGATGAACAGAAGTTAAATTGAAAATGCGTTCCTTTTTTTAATAATTTTAATAAAACGAATCTAACGTAACAATTAGACTGCGGCAGAAGAAATTTTTATGCAAGATAAAAATTTGTTGCGTCTGTTTCAAGAAACAGGAGTAACTTGGGAGTTTCATTCTTTGTTCAATCATTTTGATGGATCGAAAATAGCATATCGACATTATCAAATGTTTCTAATTTTTCTTGTTACAAACTACAGGTACTCATTTTTATCATAAATGCATGAAATACGTAGTCTGGTATTAATGCTCCTACATTGATGATTTTAGAGGGACAGCAATTTTGACGAAGATTATTAATTATAGTCACATGAGCATTGGTTTTTTTCTGTGTAACAAACGAACAGTGTGGATGATAGAGAAGTGTTTATCTTCGGTTGGAGTTTACTAAAGATGTGAAAGAAGAAAGTATCGTTATCCAGCCTATAAACAGTTCGAGATTATTGAAAGATGCATTTCACAACACCGGGCAAAAGAAGACAAATTTTGCAATTATTTAGGGTAAGGATAAAAACATGAGAGTGCTGCCGATCTTATAGTTCACCTGTTCATTGCTGCCATAACTTCATCTAAACTAACCCACATCTAAATATATCTATGATCTCGGCGAAGAATGTACAATATTTTACACGGATCAGGGCGATAAATCAATTTTAAGTAAAATAAACTTTTTCAAAATATTTATTTTCCATCCTGAATAATATATATTTTAAATTACACACGTCGCTGGATGCAACAACGTTAAAAACAAAAATATTTTAACTGTACATGTTTATTCATGGCTTTCGTTACATTCGCGAAAATTGTTGGGTAACCCAAGAACATGATTTCGAACAAAGGCACGTGTCTCCGTTACTGGAATAATATGTACGAAGATCAGAAATCTTTTCGGGTACAAATGCTGGGGGAGCTGTTTAGATCATCTAGCT